GCGAGTCAACAAATGCAATGACATGACCTTTCACCCATGACCCATCTTGAAAGGGTTAAACAGAATTTTTAATCTTTGTTTGAATTATTTTATTTTACCCTTCTCTACAAACTGATGTTAAAAAATGGCGATCCGGACAATTTTCTAATGAAGATTTCACGTAATTTCTTAAACAACAAATTTTAACCACTAGCCAATGTGCACACTGTCCCCAAATTTCCCCTCATTATCTCCCTTTCTTTTATGGGTTCACAATCCCTACATTTAAAAAAAAACTGTCCTATCTAATAAAAACCTTATGCCCTCAAATTCAGCTCAGACTGATATACAGACCTAGCCTCTGAGTAAAAACTTATTTCAATAGAAAATTAACAACCTAAACTTTTACATTCATGGCTCATGCGTAAATGTATGTATAGTGACTGTAAGGTCACATACATTGTCAAACAAAATTCCACTTAAAAACTCGAGTATGTGAACACTTAGGAGTATCTAACAAAAACAAACAAACAATCATTTACCTAACCACTCATCAATTCATTCACATTCTGAAACCACAGGTCACAATATTTCATTTAATGATTTCTCTGTCATTACCACAGGATCTTCAGACCTTGAACTCTACATTAAAGAAAGCTTTCTTATAGCTAAAGACTGCCCAACTCTTAATGACTCACAAAGCTCTTTAGATCTAAAATTATTCTAAATTTTCACACTTAAACTCAACTGTTGTGCAATATATCAATAATCCTTTTTTGTTTTCTCCTTCTGTTTTCCACTTCTCTTAAAAACTAAGTAAACTAGTGATTGTGATATTATAGTTTTATTTAATAATCATCTTCATAACACAATTTTCAGATTTTGCTGAAGATTGAATAAGTGTATTTCGAAATGTTCTAACTTTGTAAATAAAATGTTTTGTGTTTTATCAACCATCTTCATTATCACACAAGTGTTATCTACACTAGCCATCCATCACACAAGAGTTATCCACACTAGAAATCCATAATTTGAACTGATAGGCTACTGAAAAGACAGTTAATCAACAGTACCCATCACCAACTCTTTAACTACTCGAACCAAATAGTTGGATTTGACTGTCAATTTTAAAACACACCCATAACCTCAAAGTGTGGAGTGTGATTATATGGCAAAGGGATGCAAAACAAGGGCCCTTGGATTCACAGTCTGGAAAACTAACAACTAAGCCATGCCCAGTGACTCACTCAATACACTCAAGGATAAAATATGACTTCACTGAGAAATGTAAAGATTAAATAAATTCATACATGCAGTAAGAAGCAACTCCTTTTAAGTGATACTGATTCGTGAAATTGAAATGTGCAATATACATAAGACTACTTTTAAGAACTATTTCTTCTAGAAAAAACTATTACTTTACATGTTGTGATGTAGCAGTAAAAGTTGGTACTCCTACAGTAGAGGATGTTTCAAAATATTGGGTTAGTTGTTACATTCAATTCTTATCTTTACCAACCAATGTATAAATATATATATATCTAATAAACACTTTGATAGAACAAGAAAACATAACAAAGTAGCAGACTAACAGCCTCATGGAACATGTCTATGTAGTTGCAACAGTTACTTACACAAATAAAGTACTAAGTAACAATCTAAAAGTTACCTATTGCTCATGGACAAAATTTTGTCTTCTTTTCCCTATCTAATTTGCTCAATAATTTTGATTTATCAATAGTCATAAAAGCAGTACTATATACATCTAAATACAATATTTGGTCAATCATGGTGAATGTATTGACATATACTGTAAGAAGCCACAATGGGGTAATGCATTTCTTAACCTTTGTTCAGATAACCAACATATATCTATGTACAACCACACTTAAATCATGCATGCCATTCTAGAGCAACAAAAAAATTAACACTAATTGCAGCTGCAGAATGTATAACCTTTGAGGACTATAACTACGGAAATAGTTTCCTCAGATATCTTATTCTATTAGTTAATTTCCATATCACAGGTGAGGAACTATTATAACTGAAAACACACACACACACACATATGTGTGTATGTTAAATATGCTTATAAACAATATGCACTATTACATATATAAAATTTATATCAGAAATAAATATGATTTATTTTTTATTTTTCAAATATTTATTGTGTCAAAACAAAATTATTACTTACAGTCCAGAATTTTATGAAGTACTGCAAAGTTGTCAAACTTATAAAAACGCAATAAACAAGAGCATATCCAAGGAAAAGGATAAAAAACTTGTAGTTGGAAAAAGACACACAGTTGTTTACCCTAAGGAAGAAAACAAACAAAGAGTTGCTTTCAACTCTTTACAAAGTATACTTACTATTTATATTACCTGTTTACACTAGGTACTTTTGTTTTATAGCTTGTATAAAAATAATATATGAGAAACTATATCAGGTCTAATTATACAGTATAATTACCACAAATTTCTAACAAGATTCTTAAATTGACATGTTTTTGCCTACTAATTCAATCCTTTTTTTAATCAGAGAAGCAAAAAAACTTTATGTTGTGGTATTTTTCACTTGTGTTTACCTGTTCCGATTCAACATTGAATCACATACGGTCCTATAAAATAAAGACTAAACAACTTCCCTGTAATATTATGTTTTTGATTAATTAGGTAAACAGTGAAATTAAAAAAACTGAAAACAGCAAGCTTAACCTACTGCTCAAACCTTCTGCAAAACTAACATATTAAACTCATTGGTACAATAGAGATTATGTTTATAAATTAAAATAATTAATGTTATCTTATACTACAAAAAATTCAATCTTAATCTTACATTCTTAACTTTCATACTTAATGAAGAAACAAAACAAATAGTTTTTTGTTAGTTTTTCCATCTATATTAACACTATAAACAAAATGGCTATAAATTACTTGCTACCAATATACTATTGCTCATTAATTTTATAAACTCTCACAGAGTACTATAATTTTATTTTCAGTAATAAAAGAAAATTCCCTTAGTATGTTATTTAACAGCATGGATGCTAATATTCTTTACTCTTTAGTAACGAAATAACAAAATACATTTTGGAAAACATTTTGTATGTTATATATTGTTGTACTACATTCTGTTCAGAAATGAGGAAAAAAAAAATAATCTGCTGTGAAGTAACTTGCAAATAAATCAGAAACAAATACACTTGATGTTCAGAGGTTAACACATGTATCAAAATGCTTTCTTTAACTCCATTGGAACTGCAGAGAAGCTCTCCAGGGTCAAGGGTATGCTTGCATATCAGATTTCACAACTGAAGTAAAAACAGTGATTCTAACTCTCTTTCAAAAATTTTTTTCTAAAAAATGAGATTTTCAAAATTTATTTAATGTAACTTGTAAAGAAAAATTTAAAAAATGGATTTTGCCTGTAAACAATGTCCTTAGTTTTTTTTTTATAATTTTTTTGCTCATCCTAAGGTATAGATTTATATTTATCCAGACCCTGATATCTCTTAGAAATATATTTATCCAAGATTTTGTTTCTAACATGACTTTTCTCTTGATGAATATTCCAAGAATCCTGTGTTGAGATGTGTCTATGATGCAGAGCAAATGGGTTGGACAGTAACTAATAAATTTCATTTTCAGAAACAAGATAAAATCAACTGATAAAAATGATAAGATAGAAAGATTCTTATTTATCTATGTCAATGTTAAGTAAACAAGTAAAGAAAAACTTTACAAAAAAGGAAGTAAATGTAGGGATGGCTAATATCAATCCCCCAAACACAATGCAAACAAGATAGTAGGAATGGCATTTGTAGGGATGATAAAATAATAAAATGAGGTAACAAATGTAAGAAAGCTAACTTCGATGGGTAATGATAACATCATTTACACTGGAATTTTTTATTAATTACTACTAGTTTATAATATTTATAAAAGCGGGTTCTCTGTTTGAAACTGTCACCTTAGTGAAATTAGTTGATACAATTGTTTTGGTTTTGAATTATCATGTAATAAAAAAGAAGCAGAAGAAAAAACAAGAAGTACAAATGTTTTGCTATGATATTTACAGATTCCCCAGAACTTGTAACTCAGTCATTACACACATAATGTTATAAAAGGAAACACTGTATAGTAAAGTTCCGATGATCTATTGAGTAGATAATTGAAATACTATTTTGATGAACAATCCAGGCTACCCTACATAGGCAGTGCTACTGCCTGCCTGATAAAGTGGAGTAAAAAGTAATGTTTTTTCTGAGAAAATGACTAACAGAAGTTGTCATAGTAGAGAACAAAGGTTTCTAATACAACACTTGGGAAGAAGCTCTTAACCTGGGACTTTTTTATATCTTCTCTTGATGATCTTTTCATTCATGTAAGGATATTTAAGGTTAATGAGTATGATAAGCTCTTATATTTATATTACAAAATATATCATTACCGAGAAACCCATGTACAAAAACTACTTAGTTATTGAAAACAAATGATAATTATCAAAAAGAAATTAAATTTGACCGAAAACATAGTTGGAAAAAATATTGCCTACATTAGCATAGGCCTAAGATATAAGTGAAAGGAGTGTTTCTATTAGTAAACAGTTTTACAGTTCATCCACATTTTATGTGGCTTCATAACTGCTTCAACATTTAACGATAAATAGCAAACATATGTAACTGATGAAAACAAAAGTTGGAACTAACTGGATGTATAAAATGAAACTTTCTGATCAATAATACTGAAAGAAATCCAGTTTCCTTTCGTATTCTTTAATGTTTACTTTCTTTGTATGGATGAGCTTGTACAACCATACAAGAAAAAGAGTACACAGTTATTAGAACACAGACACAACAATTAGACACACAATAAATAAAAACAACTCAAACATGAAAGGAATTATTTTTGATGTTTATTAAAAAGAGCATTTCATAACAAAATTCCCACAATTTCACAACCTACACAAATATTAAACCAAATTATATAATTTTTTCAAGCACAAACTAGATATCATGTAGAAAGTGTGTACAAAATATAATGACATCACGTTAAACATTTTAAGTGTGAGAGTAAAACAATCCAATAACACAACGTCACCTTGCAAGTCTAGTAAGGGTTAACATTATGGTTACTCAAAAAAACAGGCAGTTTGTACAAATCCTTGTTCCAAGTTCCAGTGATGATAACTGATTTCTTCTATGCTAATATAAAACCTGAAACTCCTGGTATTAGATAAAATCAAATGTCCAGTATATTCTAAATGGCAATATTTTTTGAACCTGGTCTATGTAATAAATAGCTCAATGACACTATAATTACACCACCTAAATGTTATTGTGATAAAGATCTTGGGTTTGTGTTCCCCAGACCATAATTTTTTTGTCCAGTCAGTTTGGCAATATCATGTAAAATTTCATTTTCCTAGACTTGCTAAAGAAGTTTTAATATTTCAGTTTATGTTCATGGCCAAAAAATTAGTAGAATATCAAAATATACACTTTTACAAAATAACAAGGAACACGTACAAAATAAACAGGTGATATTTTACAAATTTATTGAAGGGATTAAATAATATTACCTTCTAATCAGGGCAAACTATATATTTAGATCAAAACTAAATATCAACACTGTAATGAGTATAACAACAAAAGTGAGAACATCATAGTCTTGCTACAGTTAAAAAATGAGTGTGTAACCAATGTGCTGGTGGAATGAAGGGCACTTTAGTTATGAACAGCACTGTTCTCTTTTAAATATATTTCATCTGTTTTTGTCTTTACACTTTTCTTCAGTCACAGAAAGGATACAGATTCCTTTAAAAGCTACGAGTATTTTTTTCTTTATCATTGCATGTTTAGTTTATGTTTTTAGTATTTTTCTTACTTTTTATACAATATGTTGCTTGGTTTGTCTAGAATTCCTCAAAATTCTTTTGAGACAAGTTCATTTGTCCTAGATACACCAGTACTATGATTTAAAACATTGGTACAGTTTTCACCCACCAGTGTTTTTTTTGTCTTTATAATTTATTTAACTGTGTGATTTCTTATTCTAACTAATCCACTGTAGTTTGTAAAAATTCTTAACCTAATAATTTATAAAAATTACTTTTTAATTTTGGTAAGCCTACTTTGGTGGAAATAAAAACTGATTTTCAAAAAATTCAGGAGTTTAGAACTTTACCTATTTAAACATTTTAGAAGATAAGTCACAACATTTTGTTCAAAATGCTTTAAGAAGCCTCTCGTAACCCGGAGAAGCATCTAAAATGTACTAAGTATAAACAAATACATCAAGGATAATCATTAAAGGGGATATTTATAGATACAGGTACCACCAAACTAATTCATTGTAACAAGTTTTAATGATTTTTCTCATTACTAGACACCTTTAATATTAGAATGCAAAAGTTTGAAGAACCGGCTTCAAGAATTCTAAAATGGTTTTGAATAAGGCTTGATCTCTTATATTTTGCATTAAACAAACAAATGGTACCTGAATAAATAAGGGATATTCCCCAAAACTCATGTAACTCAAACATGACAGCCAGTACAACAAAGAAATCAAGCTTTTAATATCTCTTGTCCCATAGGAAATGGATACAAATATCTATATAT